ATGCGCATTTTATTTTATTTTGCTTGGTGACTTACTTTGTTCTGTCTGTTACTACTTGGAACCACTTAAATCCTATTTTCTGTATTTAATAAAATCACTTTTTATTTAGTAATTTACTCAGAGTATGTATTAATACCTGGGGGAGCAAACAACTGTGCATATCTCTCTATCATTGTTATAGAGGGCGAACAATTTCTGGGTTTGCCCTGCCTAAGCTTTATGCAGGGTAAAACAGATTTATTTGGGTTTAGACCCCATTGGGAGTTGGGCATCTGAGTGCTGAAGACAGGCACACTTCTGTGAGCTGTTTTCAGGTAAACTTGCAGCTTTGGGACAAGTGATTCAGACCCTGGGTCTGTGTTGCAGCAGACGGGAGTGTCTGGCTCAGCAAGACAGGGTGCTGGAGTCCTGAGCTGGCAGGGAAAACAGGAGCAGAGGTAGTCTTTTGCACATCAGGTGGCATCTCCCAGGGGGGTTTCTGTGATCCAACCCATCACATACTCTTTTGATTAATGCAGGGTTACTAGACCCAGCCCAGGACTTCTGGTTCATGTCAGCATCGAAGAAGGCTGACTGCTTACACAAGCTGTCTCAATGAAATCTAATAGGCTACATCAAATGCTTCAACAAGGATTCCTGTATTTCTTCAGCTGTCCTACTCTTGGATCTTCGGTAGTCTCAGCAGCTAGGGAGAAGATGAAGGACTTCCATTGGAAAAAGGCAATGAAGAAGGTTGAATTTGGGGGAAGGAAAGTATATTCCTCTGGGACTCCAGTGATGTCTCCTGCTACCAAGCTGTAATGGTTCTATACCAGTTTCATCTTTGGGAACGGACGCTTTCACTGCTGGACCTTTTGCCAGAGGTGCAGCAGGAGTCAGTGAAGGACTGTTTCAGAGGGACATGTGATGCCTAAGAACTTTCTCCTTGTGTTCTATGATGCTTCTAACATATCTGTTAGAACAAGGGCATCAGGCATCACATTTAGTCATTATTCACAGATGAAGTCTTTGCCCTCACTAAGGCATAAAGGTCTTTCCTGTACATTGACCTTCAAAGTCTACAAAAAGTCTAGATATCGTCCCTAAATATTTTCATTCTATGCAAATTCAAGTCCTTCTGACATGTAGGGTAATGTAGTTTAATTTTCCCTGGATAAGGAGGAGATTTCAGGAAGAATTCCAGGAGACGGTCAGTTTCAGGTAGGTATAAAGTTTGGATGAGGATAAAGAACAACTTTGACCCTGTGAAATACATTAAAGGGAGAATCGGCCATTAATGTCTGCAGCTCATTCGCTCTTCTTGTACATGCGAATTAAAGCCGGACAAAGATGTTGCCACTGACCATGAGGCTCTCAAAGCTGCCAGCCAAGAACAGTTGAGAATCTTAGTGGAAAAGTACAAGAAACAATTTCTTGGGGAGCCTTTTTTTCCCTTTAGGGTGTAGCCAGAGACTGACTGAGTAACTCCGTTCAAGCTGGAATCTTATACAATAGGAGAAATGAAGAATGTAATTGTTCTAGAACAGTCTTTTTTTTTTTTTTTTTTTAAATAGTGTGCCTGGGAGGGTGCAGACTTGGGTGTGCTGGCACCAGTTGTTTTTATAACAGACAATGTAAGGAAGTGCTCATGAATATTGTAAAATATACAAAGCTATTTAGTCTGGTTGAACAGAGGAATTATTATTTCCTAGGCTGGCCTACAGGTCTAATGGCCGCTTAACATATTGCAGTGCAGAATCTGAGTTTGGGATTCCAGTTTAGCCCTTTCCTGTGGGAGCATGATGATCAAAGTCCCTAGAAGGGTTACAGCTCACATTTATCTCTTGCAATCCACTCCCATTAATGTAAAGGGAGATACAAACAGGCTTCAATGGAAACCATGCACAGCCCACCTACTCCAAAGAATCCTAGCAATGCAGGATATTTGGGATGTACTATACCAAAAAGGGGAGAAATGAAGGATCCCAGGGAACCCCAGAGGAGACAAAATAATTTTCTAACAATGATTCTAACACAAGGGAAGTTCCAAAATATTTCAAACACCAAGATTTTAGTTTAAGACCAATTTTACATTTACATTTTTGCAAATTAAAAATTAAATTAAAAAAGAGTGAACTGGCCTAATAACATGATTCTGTTTCCAGATTTAGGGTCCCTGTAGCCCTGGGCCTGGAGAACTTTGGACCACATAGGGGAGAGAGAGAGTCGGAAAGAACTGCTCTTACCACGTAATATATATGCAATAATAACAATTTACAGAGTTGCCAAATTTCATATGTTGTAAGCAGATAAATAATGAATTCATAGAATATCAGGGTTGGAAAGGACCTCAGGAGGTCATCCAGTCCAACCCCCCGCCCAAAGCAGGACTAACCCCCAGACAGATTTTTGCCCCAGCTCCCTAAATGGCCCTCTCAAGGTTTGAACTCGCAACCCTGGGTTTAGCAAGCCAATGCTCAAACCACCGAGCTGATGTAGGTCTGAGTATGGGGTGTTCTCCCACCCACTCAGCAAACAGAAGAGCTGAACAATAGTGGCTGTCAGAAGAAAAAGGGGCAAAGGGTTATCAAGGGAAGAATAGTATCATCATAATGAAAAGGCAAAAGTGGGGACCAGGCAAGGCAAAGGAGAAAGCTTGCTCAGATGTCTGTCATAAATAGTGATCTGTATAGTCTGAAAAACGTCATATTGGGGGGTTTGGATAGCACCAGGCAGTAAGTAGATAATCTATATCAAAGGAAGGATTTCCAATATCCAAAAAACTGTGCTATACAGAATGAAAATAAGAGATTTAGTACTAATAGAATATTCTTCTGGGAAAAAAAAGAGTTGGATGCCAGTATTTGTATCCTCCTCTCTTCAAGCCAGTAACCAAAAGAAAAATGTTAATAAGGATATAAAGAGACTCCAGATGACTCCAGAAATTCTCAAAAAAACCATAATTTTCCACTGTGAAAGATTCCCAAGAAGTATGTTAAAAACATAATTATACTTGTAGGAACAATTACAGTTCTGTACTGCAAGGGGAGCTGTTGGCACATAATACTAAGATTGTGCATTAGCTCATCCACCAGCTTCTGTAATATCCACTTCCAGCTATAAGGAGTCATGTTTCAACACCTCCGATTCCCTGATGCTGACAAGCTAAACAACTTGTTTTGTCTCTGGGAGCTCTTCTCTGGTGATTAACTGCTTATAGTGAATACTAATTATATGAAAGTACAGTACTATAGAAATACTGTTTCCTCTACCTGCAGCATCACCATTCTCTTACACAGAGAAGGTATACTGTTAATTCAACTAAAACCAAGAAGATGACATTTTTCAGCACCACAAATAAATTAATCAGCCTCTTACTATGTTATTTCGAGACAGCAAAAGTTACTGACTAGCAAGAGTTTCTTTATCCTTCTGCCTGCAAAACAAGTTTAATGACAGATTATTGCACATTTGTAAATGCTTGTAACAGTCCTAGGAATAAATTTGCAACATGAAGTGTGTGAGAATTTGTGATCTATTGGTAGTTACGGAGACTGAGCTGTATTCTCAATTCCCCAATTTGAACATTTACCCCAAATTATCAGTTCTTAGAAATTGCACCTCAGACTAAAATCTTTTCACCACGGAGTCTGAGAATTTGTTCTTCAATTTTAAATCTAAAGTGCTTGTTAAAACGCGAACATTGCAAAATTAGAAGTGATTAAACAATATAAGTCCATGAGTGATTAAATCTACCAAACACAGGCAAAGCAGCTTAAGTGACTTTTTAATTAAAAAGAAAAATATCACAGGCAACATTCAGATGTCTTCATCAAGATAAAATTTGAAGATCATTCAAAACACAAAATCTGCCATGCAGGAGACAAAGTTTAGAAATGACCTCAGGATTCCAACTCCTCAGCCCCAAGTGCATTGTCTTTGGGAAGAGGAGAGAAGCACAGACAGTGCTGCAGTATAATCACTCTATGCTTGTTGATTAAATAAGCATGACTAACAGTGGCTAGGAAGGGAGACAGTGTGTTCCACTTTCCTTACAGGAGAGAGAGTGAAATCACAGTGGCAGTAGTAACTGGGCAATGGGTGATAAGATGTATAGATTAGGGAGAAAATAAACTATTGATTTCAGTCATTTTATGCAATGTTTTAAAACTGTTTCTTCCAGTGCAAACTGATTTTATGTTGGTTTTATGTTTAAAATATTTGGTAACTTTTAAAAACTGTTTAAATTAGAAAGAAAGAAAGATAGCATACAGACTGTTTTAAATGTAAATTTTGACCTAATCATTTTGGATCAAATTCAGCTCTGAAATAAGCAGGCGCAACTCAGCTGAAGTCACTGCAGTACAGCTTACTTATTCCATGGCTGAATTTGATGCTGTAGCTTTAAGTTCTTTGTATTCATTTAAAGAAATCAAAAAAGAAAAATGGCCAGCAGGTTTCGTCAACTATGGGCATGATGCCAGGAGTCTAAAGATCAGACTTCTCCAGGCTGAGATGATATCATCTACTACAAGGTCCTGAGGCTCATGGTGTCTGGAGTATCAGAAAATTTACTAGTGAACACCCCATCTCATATTTTTTATATTAAACATGATTATTATACTGCCAGTTGAGTACAAAATCTGTTTCAAAGATTTCACTTCATCCCTGCATTTTTTTTCTTTTACTATGTGTTTAATGTATAACAAGTCTTACCTAAAAAGCATGCCCTAAAGTAAAGCACAGGTACTTCGTAGCTGCTGGAATACAAGACATGATACTCATAACGAATCACTTCTGATGTTGCACAGATTCCGGCTACTTCAGAATCATCCAGGGCTTCCTAAAACAACAAACATTAACACAGTACTTCAGTAAATTATGGGCTTACCCGTAAGGAGAAAATAAGGGTTACCGGTATAGTAATTAATTTAATAAATATAAGGAGCAGACATGAGAGGAATTGTCCCTTACTGAACACTCATCAGTTGAGTCCTGAGGAAATAGTAAGACCAGAAAGAAAAACACGAAAGCCCCAATTCTGCAAAGATTTACCTACATGCTTCACTTCACACACCATGAGGAGTGTGTATATAGTTAAACCCATGTGTAAGTCTTTGAAGGATTGTGGCCTTAATTAATCCAGATTGCTTTTGTGAAACAATCAGACAGCAAAGCAACTGTGGAAAATCTTTATCGCAATACTTTTAGCAATATGTTGGCTACAGCAGCTACTCCCTTTGTTACCTGTTACTGTTGAAGATCATCCTACCAACTGAAGGTGAAGTTATAATAGATCCCTAAAGAATCTGCAGGTTTAAAACAAACAAAAGGAAGTATTTCTTCACACAACACACAGTCAACCTGTGGAACTCTTTGCCAGAGGATGCTGTGAAGGCCAAGACTATAACAGGGTTCAAAAAAGTAGTAGATAAATTCATGGCGGATAGGTCCATCAATAGCTATTAGCCAGGATGGGCAGGGATGATGTCCCTAGCCTCTATTTGCCAGAAACTGGGAATGGGTGACAGGGGATGGATCACTTGATGATTACCTGTTCTGTTCATTCCCTCTGGGGCACCTGGCATTGGTAACTGTCGGAAGACAGGATACTGGGCTAAATGGACCTTTGGTCTGACCCAGTATGGCTGTTCTTATGGTGGTTACTTTCCAAAGGATAATTCATTTTATGCAGAAAATTCAGAGTTCCATTTTTAATAAGAGCTATTTTGCAAGAGGTTGTGTTGGTTAATAACACTTCTGAAATTGAGACAATTTTTCCCCTCCTCTTACTATATGCTGCTAAAATCAACTTCAACTATAGATTGGGCTCCACCTCTTCTGTTTGTTTATAAGCAGAAGCATTCCGATACATTCCCAGGAGCTCCCAATTACCAGCTTACGTTTTGTATCTTCTTTTACCAATGTATGAACATAAGACATAATTTTCAAAAGGTGCTGAGCACCCACAGTTCTTATTGACTTTACAACCAATTGCGAAAGTTTATCACTCTGAAAATTAGGCCATTAACTTTTTAACCCTATTAAATAAGCTAATTAGATATACTGGAACAAATTTTCCAAGAAGACAAAACTGAAATGTCCACAAAATGCACATGCACTTGTTGAGCCTTGAAAACCCTGAATTTGCATACACAAACCAACTGTATGCCCCGAAGGGTAGGTATACATATACAAATATGGGCTTTGTGGGTGCACTAGTACCAACTAACTGTGAATATTTAGTTCTTTGCCCAAGCAAAATGCCAAAGACTGAAAGGGAACAATGAAGAAACAGCATTTTTTAACCCTCAAGTTGTTACAACACATAAGACAGTTAAAGCTATTTTGTATTTTTTCTTAGATCCTTAACTCACCTTAATGCTTGCTCTGCCATGAATCAATTCATGAGGGAGATGCAAGAACTGACAAACTAAGAGTAACCATAGAGAACATACTATGATTTTTTGGAAAGCCCATGTAAATTGATTTCATCCAAATAGTATTTTAGACAATCAGGTGTTGCTGATAAGAGTGTACAAGACTGTGACTAGAGGTCCCAGATTCTGGATAGCCACATACCAGTGTAGTTGGAAATAATGATAACATGATTTTAAACATTAAATTAAGATATTTAGAAAATCACAGCAGCTCAAAGAACAAAAGAATTCTGGGAATAATGGCCAATTGCAGAAAGCTTGATCTTAGTTTACCAAAAAACAGATACCTAAAGCACTGAGCCTGGACATTAAAGGAAATCCTCTCTGTTGACCCAGCTTTTAAAATCTTAGGCAATGAGATATTAAAGACAATATGCCAGAAAGGACAACATTGATTACTGTTTTTGACTTCACCAACCAGATACAGATCTGTATGCTTTACCCAGTTCACATATAATAGACTAAGAACACACGTTTTCCCTCCTTCCCTCATAGCAATCCTACTGATCAGATGTATTGGGAGCCAATACTATGTAAAAGATTTTTTGTGGAAGAAAGATTGATATTACTTTTGCCTAGTAAACTGATAATTCTTTAAACTGGATATATCTTCTGGGCCAGTGCTTTGGTGAAGAGCATAAATGGGAAAAGAGAAGAGAATGGAGGGCGATGGCAGAAACTAAAAACAGCAACTAGGGATCAGCCCAAATCCCCTCAAACTTTGAGGACCTTTGGATTCAGATCTGAACCCAGATCCAAACTACATAACTTAAGACAATCTCTTCCTGAAGCAAAACTTAAAACGATTCTTTGTGAAGACATTCATGTTTAGTAGGTTTTTATATTATGGGTTTACGTACTATTTGGCCATTAGATGACTTTGCTCTGAAACAGGACTGGATAAGTGTGACATATAGTGAAGTACTTGCTGAGTCTCTTTCTTTTGTTGGCTGTGCTGTACTGTACCACTCATAGTTCCAGTGCCGATATAAATTTTTAAATATTGTTCTTCCACCAAAACAGTCCTGTACATGCAAGTACACTCTTGTGTGTGTATATGGAAAAACAATGAACATCACTTTAGTCATTAACATTATATTGATTTCTAATTTGGAATTATTTTTAAACTAGAATAAAAAAAACAGTCACCCTCTCTTTCAACCAAAAGCACAAGAGAAATAAGTAACATCTTTACCAAAGAGCTGCCTTCCTCAATGTGAGTTCAGCAGAACAGGTCTCATGAATGTCCTGCTATCTTGGAAGTGGTGGGTTAAGATATGAGCAGTCTGTCGCTAAAAATTCTGCTTCTGGGGATTGCAGGGAGTTCAGGGTTTGAGCAACCTCTGCAGAAAAACCTTAATTTTCTGGAGATGAACTGGACTAGGGAATAGAACAATGAAGGAGTCAGCAGCTCTTTCTGATGACCCTGTTCCTCAAGAGGGAGGAGATGGACTACAAAAAAATCTCCCTTGAGGATTCCTGGTGTTACTGGAGGGAAATTAGATTATGATATGCCTCTCTAGAGATCCTACTTCTCAAGAGACAAGAGCTATTTCATCCATCAGTGGCATCCCCAAAAGAGTACGGACACCTCTGGAGGGTTAGGAACAGGAAAGAGCAGGTTGTGCAATCAGTCTTCTCCTGAAAAGCCAGGTGTTTTAGGGAACTGGAGGTTGACCATTTCATTCATGTTTTAGGGAGCTGGAGGTTGACCATTTCTCATTTTGTATTAACCTGGTTTTTGCTTTTAAATGATGGTTTGGGCTATGTCTGAAACAGGGAATTCAAAAGAAGGCAAAGCTTAAGGAAGCTTTGGAAGACAAAAATTTTCCCTTCTCTGTCCTGTAACAAACTGGAATTTGGTCTAGTATACGAAGCTTCTGTTATTCAAAATATGATTTTTGATCATTCAGATCTCTTTGCATGCTATATATATAGTGACAAGTGGAAGCACTACTGTAGTCTATATACTTGCATGGACACTTGAATCCTTCTTAGAACTATTTCTAATCCCTTTTCATTTGGGTAAACAGCAGTGGCAGGACTTGTTACATAAAAAGATACAGTACCAACATGTAATCCTGTACTTTATAGTCTCTAAGAATGATGCATAGAATTTAACATGGGAAAGTAAATTTTGGAGTCTACAAGCACTGAGTGTTTCTTTAGCTGGTGAGTTGAACCTTTGCTAAAGCCATGTTCTAGAATAAAATGAACTGGGTCTCTTTTTAAGATGATATTTGGAGCATTTAAGACTTTGTTTGTGACTGAACAGAACCCACAAAGACTAAGCGAATATTACATTGGCCCAACAGAAGATATGTCTGAGGGGGTTTTAAACAAATGGCCATAGCTTTTTGCATAATCACTAACAGAGCCATAAATAACAGAAGGTATAACTAATACATAAAAATAAAATCCATAAGCCATGTGATAGCCTATTTATAGGTTGTTTTTAAAAATTTTAATGTGTTCCTTTCCTTGCTATATATACTACTGTCCTGCACCCTCTGAGCTGTTAACAGTACTTTATGTACTACGGTATTATGACAGCTACAACGCAACATAAATAATTTACTCTTGAGCATTGATAGGTCATAACATGCACAGTACCATTGCTCCAAAAATATTCCTGGAAATATAAATATAAAGAGGGTGAGCTAGCTCTGTTGTTGAATTGATGGATTTTGTTTAGATACTCACTATGGCAAAAAGATTTATCTGCACAGTGGATAAAATGCTAATTTTATTAAAGTGTTATTAAATAGGGATTTCTGGCTAAATTATAATTCCTAGAAAAATTACACAGCCACTTGATTTCTCAGTTCTTGTTTCTCCATAAGAATTTGCTTGCATGGCTGCCACACTGCAAGGGAAAACTGAATCCAGGACTGACTGACTGTTTCCTAAACAAATTGGGAAGTTGTCATCAGGAAGCATCTGTTACTTTATTACTCTCACGAAAAAGCGTTCTTGTGCTATCATAACGGACTATTGAGCAGATGCTTTAAAGCACTATACCCACAGCAATGTATGTATAATAAAAAAGATAAGCAGCTACAGCCTAATTAATGATATTGGTTCCTTTATAAATGCATTCTTACTAATTTTAATTGATCAAAAGTTGTCTTCGACATTTTAGCTCTCTCTTCTACCCAATATATTTGTTCCGTTCCTTTTAAATGATAAAATATTTACATCAATAGATAAGAATTAATGTTGCACATCCTTCTGAAGGCAAAATAACACATTTCTTCTCTAACAAAAGATACTATTTTATCCCTTTGTGAGGCAGAAGACAAGTTAAAGATCCTGGGGGGTGAAGAATTAACTTGTTTTTGACAGTATTTAATAAGAACTGTATCCATGAGGGGTAAGGCAGGTCATGTTGGGAGGATAGGCCTCAATGGGAAGGATAGGGAACAGAAGTTCATAGCATGAACTGGGAAGGAGACAACAGTTAGATGATCAAAAGGAATCTGTGTCTTCCCCTCTCCCACCCACATACACAAAAAGAGTGTGAGCCTGCAATCCTTGTCCCACCAAAATTCCCTTTGAAATGCAGGATGAGGACTGTTTTGGGAGGAGAAGGGGGAGGAAGTGCAGTGATTTCACCAAGAGCAGGCACATTTCTCCTTGTGATTAAGTTACTGTTGCCTATCCTCCTAATTCCCATGTTTGTCATCTCCCACTGGTGCCATGACCTCCATGCCCTCCTGCTGTGGGTTAGCCACTTGGGAGGAAGCAGGGGAAAAGGTGACACATACAGAGTTACTGGTATTGTTAGTTTAGTCATGAGAGGAAAGACGTACCAGTAAGCTAGGTTTTTTCAGTTGCTCGGAATGTGTTTGCTCTTGATATCTTACTGTTTTATGCTCTAACTCTGACAACAAATGAATAATGTTTGAGCTTCTTAATGTTTCTCCAACTCTGTGGTTCTCGTTTTTTCAAGTATACTGTAAGGAAACAGAAACGCTCTCATGGAGCAGCTCCCCACCCAGCCTCCCAACTCCATGGTTTCCCTTTGGCAAGTACAGTGCTTGGTCCCACAAACTTGTACAACTAACATTAAGACAGTATTAATCAGATAAGATTAAATAAACTTTAATGTGAAAGGTGTAGTTGCTTGGATAGATTGTTTTAGGGATCTTGATTTCTTCCCCCTGCATGTTTTTTACATTTATTAATACTGAGTCTCCCCTGGTTGACTGCAATCCCATCTGTTCTATTCTCCCCAGGTCACTTTGCAGTTTGGTTTTGCCCCTCTGTATGTTTGCTGCTCTATGCAGAATCTCAAGGCTAACCCATCACAGACACTGAATTTCTGGGCCTGATTCTCCCCTCACTTACTATGGCGTAAATCAAAAGTAAAACTGGAAAAAAAAATCAATGGAGTAACATTGTGTACAACTGTAGTGAGATAAGAATCCAACCACTTGACAGCAGCCTCCCCACAACCCCAACAAACATTTATGGCCTGAAAGTCACACCAGATGACATAAG